CCCTCCCTCCTTTTTAAGTTAACCCATGAGATTTACTGGTAATCCAATAAGAAAAGATTAAGTGCTTGAAACAATTGCCTAATTACATGGATTCATGACCCAGGAATAGCTATGAAGACATAAAATTAGGTTCATAGTGAAGAGCCAAACTGGTGACAAAAGACTGTCAAGCAGGTGCTCCCATGCAAGGATTAAAAAAACAGACAAACAAAAAAACACACAAGCAAGTAGCCGCTAGATTTTCAAGGGATGAATTCAAGGTGTGTGCCCCGTTTGGGAATTTTTGAACGACATACTACTTTCTGCAATTTCCAAGGAAAAAAGAAGAACACAGGACCCCCTAAAATATAAATTTCCTAAATTAAGCTAAAAAAACCCCACATAAACATATCTCTTATGACTGATTCAACAAATTAGTAATTTATATTTTATTATATGCATTTACTAAACAGGATAAATTATAATATAATACATATGTTTCAACCGGTTCCCATTAAGCTTACAAAAATCTTATTTTCTCTAGAATATACTCCATATTCAATGTTTAATATAATCTCTCCTTCATTAAGATGACGTATTCTTGGAAGAACGCCATAGTCACTTATCATCTATGTTGACTAAAATAACATCAGATATATAAAGTTTGTATAAGGGTCACTACTTTCAACGTGTGTACAGATAAAGAAAACTTACATTTTTTGGCATTCCTTCCGTTCTCCCAACATGGGATCTCCCATTTCTCCAAGAATGGTAGCTTCCACTTCATATTGAACAATGAGTGCTTTTTCTGATGGATGTACATCAATATTCCCTCCTTTAACTTTCCTATAATTCAAAATAAAAAAAGCATAATCAGCTTAAAAAGTCTCAAAAGTCCACGGTTCTTACCTAGTTTATAGGAAATAACTCTTTTTCTCTAACTCTGTACTACACATAAAATTCTTGGTCCTGCATAAGCTGAATAGCTCTACCTGGGGAAAAATATATTTACCCAAAGAATCATGCATAAAAGCAACTGAATGAAATAAACAATTAAGATGATTCTGGAGAGAATTATCTCAACTAGAAGTCACTTCTTCAAAACCAAGGACAGCTGCCTCAAAATTTACATTAGAAAAAAAATCAATCTGCCCATTATTCACTCCATTAACTAAATCACAGAAGTTTCATAAATTACAATACAATATGTATATCATCTAATATCATTGTGTAAGTTGTAGCATTAGTACCTAAATAAATTCACTCCTCAATCACACCCAAATTACATAAGAAAAAAGCATTTACAGGTTATGTATGCTCTATAGTCACATATCTCAAATTATAGTGTCAAGAGTAGATTCCATACAAAGGTTATATATACTTTGTCCTCAAGCCCATGAAGTTACATAATGAATTCTTAATTGCTGTAAACCAATGACAAATTAATCACTATTTGTCAACTGGCCATTATTAGAAGGCGATAAAATGAGTTGCACTAGAAGAGATACAGCAATGGAAACAAGCAAAATTTCTCACTCCTCGTCACAACTAGCTGCTAGCTAGCTGACTAGAAGGGTCCTTTAGCATAATGAGAATACAACTATGACAACTTAAATTTATTTTAATTCCAATAATCATAAACTTGCAGCTTTTCTTTCAGTTGCTTTGAAATGCTACCTCTTTCACATATTAAGTATGCATCTAAATGCATGCTATTTCTAGGCTTTTTATTTTATTCAATTAGTCTACAGATCTAGTCTTACATTAATATCTAAGGGAAGTGTCCCCAATCTGGCTCTTCAATTTTTTT